TTTATTTCTAGCTTCATTGCACTTGTATTTGGCTCAGCATTCATTTGCATTCATTTTATAGAAATGTTGGAATTGAAACACTTAACAATGATCTTTACTGAATTCTTTTATAATTCACAAGAAAGGAAGTTCTGAAGACACTCTGGGAACACTCCATTGAGTCTATTCTGGCATAAGACAATGTATTGCTCTTCAAGCTTAAGTAACTTTGAAGCACACTTCTTTAGCTTCTTGCCCATCATTATGATGTATAATCAACTACTTCATATACACTTAACACCGTAGTAATGTAAATATTTATTTGCTTGCTTCAGAAAGCTAAATAACTATAATAGTTGACTAAGATATGTTTTTGTCCTAACCAGGACATCAGCTTAGAATTCATATCAATTGAATACAAATATTGTTCTTTTAAAATTAGAAACACACCTCTTCTATGTGGGATCACTTACAGCTCTATAACATTTTGCATCAAGAAACTTATTCACTTTGTGTCCTAGTAACAGCACGGTGTTGACTCAATAGGCTTTAGAAAAGGATGCCACCATACATTACGAGGTGGTACTCAAAACCTGGTCCAATGTAAATACCATCAGAATAATGGAGCAGAGTTTAATCCATAATTTAGGAATGAATCTTAAAATCATTAATTCACATGATAATGAACAGTATCATTACAATGTTTTCATTGCTTTCATATACAATTCCTGTGCATTTCCTAATGGGAGTATTATACAAACTTATTTTGTATATTGTTGCTTACAATCATAGCTTCTCATTAATCACTAAGTGTTTGTTACTAAGGTAATTGGAGTTAGATCTGTTAATATACTAAAATAATGAAGTAAATAGGTTTTTGCAGTCTATTATTTGAGAAAATGGTGGTTGTTATTTGGATGGAGTGGAAAAGTTAGAATTTTTCCCATAAGAAATAATTAGAAAACATTTTTTAATATTCAAATTCCTAATATTAATAATAATCATTATCAGGAATGCATAGATTTTGATAATAGAATATGGTTCTTAAAGAGGTGATCATCTAGATCAGTGTTTCTCAACGGGGGCGATATCGCCCCCATGTTGGTGATTAGTGACAATTTATATTTTGGGGGGGCGAAAAACAATTTTATGGGCGATATAGTAAAACATTATATTAAGAATAATTAGATATTTTATTTGTTATATCGTACAATAATTAAACAAATAACATTATACTAGTCACTAGTCTATTCAATGCAGTACGAATTTGGCATTAGCCTTGGTCCTCGACCTCGGAATTTTGAAGTGAAAGTTCAAATTTTGAAAAGTGAATTTTGAAGTGATGGTTCGTTACAGGTTGAGAAACACTGATTTAGATATAGACACCCACAACTGCCATAAATAATTGGGCCATAATTTGGAAATATTAATTAAGAATTACAAATGAATTTGACACTAAAGGAAGGCATTAAGCACCATCTCTTATTAAAATTAATAATTATCATATTTAATTAAATAATTTAGATTAATTTTTAAATTTAAATAATTATTAATTTTAATATGAGATGGTGCTTAATGCCTCCCTCTGGTGTCAAATTCATTTGTAATTCTTAATTAATATTTCCAAATTACAGCCAAATTATTTATGGCAATTGTGTTGTCTATTTGCTATGCATTGGGTTTGATTGGTGTTTATATCATCTGGATATGTTTTATACAATAAAACCTACCCAGATAATCACACCCTTTAAACCAATCACCCCTGTAAATGACCAGATTTTCTTAGAATAGAATTTTTGTTCCATAGGACATTTTAATCCTCTTTCAGCCATCCATCTCTTTTCAAGACAATGTCCATCCAGACTCATAATTCTTTTATGTAAAACACTCTCTTTGAGGTGACCAGTTTCGTCACCCTGGATGGAGTGATGATATTAAAACCATGGATGTATACAGTGTATATTATACAGGGTGAACCAAAAGTAGGTGGACAGTAAATGATAACATTTATTGAGATTACATATACAGTAGAGCAGGGGGTCACCAAACTACGGCTTGTGAGCTGGATTCGGTCCGCGGGGTCATCTCATCCAGTGTCCTGCCACAGTGTGCCACAAATGAGCTAAAATATAATCATTTGTGACGGACGAAGGGATGAAAATATTAGTTTGACCTTTGGTCATTTTATAATTTTGTCATTTGACTTCGATTTTTTTATCAAGAGCTATCATAAAAATTGTTTCCCATGGACTTGCTTCCTGTTGAGGATGATCCATCTAGTCATTAATGTGTCACCTGGAACTTTTGATAAATTTCCAGTATTGGATGCCAGGCCATTGGTGGCAGGCTCCTGACCTCATGGAAAAACCCCAGAAGGAAAATACCCAATAACCAAGGAGAACAATGAAGAAATCAAGTCAGTCATCCTCCAAAGTCCATCCACAAAAAAGCGTGTTAAAATACTGAGTCTCCATCTATATCAACATACGGATACCTATCACACCTAAGTTCTTAACTTATTCTACACCTGTCGGATACTTCCCTCCAAAGACCTGTTACCTGAACAATTCAAATAAAAAGACTCTTCGATCACCCGGAGAATCCACCAAACACTCGAAGAATCCTGTGTGAGTCATCGAATCATCCATCCTCAACTTCTTTATAAGGTATTTATCCACATGCGAGTCATTTGTAAACTCTCTCTCTCACGACAGTTAAATGCAAGAAAATAGGTATAAGATCGTATATCGTGTACTCCTGCCCGATAAAATAAATTTGTTATTGTTTATTAATATGGAATCCGAGTGAATCACTTCCTCATCTCGCTTCTCACCTCTACTCCGAATCCAACCGCTCACCCACTACTGCTTGTGTGACATAAAGTCGTGATTTCTGAGTCCTGCGAGACTCAGTGGTGTCACATCCTGACGTGGTGCCAAAGAGAACCGACCCTACAGTCACAGTGGTGTCAGAAGTGGGATTCGAACCCACGCCCACATACGTGGACCAGAATTTGAGTCTGGTCCACGTATGTGGAGCTAAAATATAATCATTTATATAAAAATATCATNTAGGTGAAAAGAGAAGATATTGATTAGAGTGCCTGATACCTTCAGTCAATAGAATTGATCTTGAAATCATCTCAACATTCTGTTGGCTAAATTTTATGACTAAGAAATTCTTCATGTATTTGCAAGGAAAACATGTTTTCTGTATAAATGATTGAAGAGAGCTTAATCAATATTGATCAATCTTGTTAATCAATCATTGAAATCATCAATGATTGATTAACAAGAAATTTTTATTGATATACATCAACATAGAGAAATAATAACAACAACAAATCAGCAGGTATGCAGAACTTGCCTAGAAAATAAGCATCTGTGGAGGATGGATGGGGGTGCTTATTATACCTGTTCTTCCCTCTACAGGTGTCATATTCCACACACTTCACAAAACGTGGGAACATTATAGTTGAATAGAAAAACACAACATCACACTACAGAAGGCCACTATATTGAATACATGTTGTATTGTTAGGAAATTCCTGAATACAGACACACACACTGACACACTTATTTTTGTCTTGTTTTGGTTGCTATGCCTTGACTCTAGTCTGACATAGTACACAACAACCTGTGTCAGCTGAGTATAACATACTACACCCAACATAATAATAGTATTAAACTGTTTGTAAAGTGGTGATATATTGTTAATCTTTTCAAATTGTGATTAATTCAAAAATTATTAACATTTTAAGACAGTTAATAATTTTATAATAAATATTTAATTGATAATGATTAAAACAAAAATTAATGTAATTTATATAATTAGTAGATGACAAAAATTCTAATAAAACTGTTTAAAGTATTTTGTTTTTCTTATTTTAACTAATTTGATATAAAATATTTGAATTATACAAAAATACTACAATTTTTAAAATTAGGTTTAATAAATTAAAAATTTTACTTAGATTATTATCTATTTCTAATGGAAAAAAATAAAAGTTATGCACAAAATTAATAATAATGTTAAATTAATTTTTCAGTTGACAGTAGAGTCTCATTTTACGAAAGATTTGGGATTAGATAGTTTAGATCATGTAGAAGTAATAATGGCTATGGAAGATGAATTTGGTAAGTAACCTGTTGAATTTTTTACCATTAAATTTAAAATTATGATTCTATAGTTTTAAACACAATATGAAAATATAATTTATGCTATATGTCTAATAATTAAATTATTATATGATAAATTTTAGTTATTCACAATATTAGTAGTAACAATAGCTTTTGCAAAACAAAAAAAATATATATGTATGTTGGTCTTTAATTATTTGTGAACAATTTATTTTAATAATAAAACAGCAATCTGAAGTATACAAAATCCACATTTTATTAACTGTAAGTGTTTTTAAAGTTTTCAGTTTAACAAGTTTATAATTTTTTATATCTGACAATAAACTAAAAAACTTGAAAATGTTTATGAAGTTAATAAAATTTAGTCTTCTATATATTTTAAATTGTATTTTTTTACAGTATTAGTTGTAATTGTTGTACATTTAATAAACTGTGTACATACATATACAGTAGAGTCTCAAAAACTCGGCCTAATGTGGACCGAAGGGTGGCCGAGTTTGTGAAAATGCCGGGTTATCGGGNGGGATCATTTTTTGACCAATCGCCATAATTTCCCTCTATATAACAGCCGTGAAAGTAAAATATTTTGTTCATTTAATCGTTCTCTTGTATTTTTATATTCTGATTTCAAGGTTAACATTAGAAATCTTTCATACAAAAAATCGCCGAACGATTCTTCTGCATCACAGATCACGATAATTTATATAAAATTCACTACATAATAATAGATTATTCAACTTTCTTTTTACGGAAGTTTACATTAACTTGAAGTATACAGACTGCACTATATAAAATACAGTACTGTACTTAATTATTTTAACTTGCAGAAAAATGCAAAAAAATAACGAGTTTTTTCTTTTGTTGAATTTTTCTTTGAGATCACTAATGGGGCGTGCACGATTTAGATCTCGTCATTAGATAGAGCGGAAGTTTTGATCTGCTTATAAAAACCTAGATTTAAATAATGTAACAGTTGCTAAATTAAGAAATAAATGAAAAGAATTAGGGGTTAAGATATGTGCGTCGTCAGCACGGGATCTAATAGGTCTGTAACCCCTATTATCTCTTATCTGCCGTATAGGGTTATAATACGTCACAAAGCTGGGCTCCCGCTGCATCCCGAGCTTCTCGAAGGCGAGATATTTCTATGGAAGAACTGGATAGCAAAAAACGCAGAGAAGAGTTGTAAATATATTGACGAAGTAGTAAATATATTCACGACATTTCATCCGAGAAGGATGCAACTAGATATGTTGTAAGCAGGTTTCTCTCGAAGACGTGAAACGTTATTTTGAAATATACATAACGTCAAATATAAGATAAATTAAAGCAATAGGATCGGTTATTATAAATCTTTAAAATAAAAAGTCTAAAAAATTCTTAAAACTAATGAGTTAAAATTACTCTCTTTTATCTGACTTCGAAGAAACTCAAAATACAGAGATGGAAAACCGAAGTTAATAATTACTTCTCACTTTATTCAAACTTTTCATCACCATACGCATTTCGCTTTTTCAGCCTCATCAGTGGTTATTCTGTCTTACATCATCAGCGCTCTTATATTCTATCAACACATCCCAGCATGCATCTATGCTGACTACGGTATTCAAATTGATGGTATTTACATAATTATTAATACAGTAGTGTTCTACAATACGTCTCATAACTACATTTTCTATTTTATACAATATTTTTACATTATTGCGGTCAATAATACAATTTTTAACGCTACAATGTTGGTACCACGGGGATTCTATTATTTTCAATCTTATTGCCGCTTCGTGTTTTTTTAATCTTGTTCCAAGTTTCTTTCCTGTTTCGCCAATGTAAAACTTCTTAGTTGTATATGTACACTGTAACTTATAAACGACTCCTGCCGCATCCAAAGGATTCTTCTTAAACTTAGCATTTCCTTTATTAATTAAACAAATACTTAGTAAAAGTATTTGTTTAATTAATAAAATTAATAAATATCATAATTAATAACTACGATATTTTCCTTTAAAATAAAATTATATTTTTATTTTAATTAAAGGAAATATCATAGTTTGTAGATAAACTTACTATGTAGAAAAAGTTAAAATAAGTGTAAGTAAAAATGCCAAAATAGTCTAATCTGATTTTTGTATATGAGAATAATATAATTTTTAGGAAAATTGGTGAAATAAAAAAATTCGGAACTTTGTATCAGAGTGCTTTTTGTGTAAGTACCTGCAATGAACTTTCTAAGAAAAGCCATTATGAGCTTGCTACAGCCGTTGTGTTTGTGTGTTGATAAATAAATATGTTGGTTGTCTTTATTTTTNTGCTTTTTGTGTAAGTACCTGCAATGAACTTTCTAAGAAAAGCCATTATGAGCTTGCTACAGCCGTTGTGTTTGTGTGTTGATAAATAAATATGTTGGTTGTCTTTATTTTTTATGTATTCAGTGTACTGTATTGAACAAAATAATTATGTGGCCCGTGCTCGTCGTTCTCTCGGTTATGTGGCCTGCTGTGAAAAAGTTTGGCGACCCCTGTAGTAGAGCATCGATTATCCTAAACAATTCAAGACTGGGGTTGTTCAGATAACAGATTTTTCGGATAACTGATCATTTACGAAAAATAAATTAAACGCAAAACTGTGTATATTTTATATCACAAGTCTTACAAATACATACCATACATAAAGTAGTACATTAAAGTAGGCCTACAGTGTAGGTTAGCAAAGAGGGGAGAGTGCTGCAGTGCCACAGCACTAGCAGAAATTTGAATTTGTAGACTGGAACACTTTCGGATAATCAATGCTCTACTGTACAATTATATTTACTAATACAATACAATACAATTTTATTAGCACAGGTTGCTCAAACAATTTACACCACTTTGAAGTCTACGTTTTACCGTTTCAAACTTCAACAAACATTTTTGCACAAGTATCTATGTATTGATTTCATGAAATGCATGTAATTTTTCAACCATAACCAAGTTAAATATACACCATTGTTATAGCATAACCCTAACACAAACCCTATTTCACCTATTGTCTACCTACTTTTGGTTCACCTTGTATACATATAATGTTGGGCATTCTGTACTGTTTGTTAGGTATAAAAATTTGTCTCAATTTTTTTCCAATTTCAATGTCTTCACACACTTCTATTTGATTCTATCATGAAGAATAAAATTTACTAATATTCTGAACAAGTTAGTCTATGCTTTATTCTTATTACCATAAACTAAATAATATAATAAAGCCAATGAATTTAATATTTCCATTAATAGAGGTTGATAAAATGGAAATAAAGATGGCAAATTCATTGGGATTTGACAGTTTTTGGAATTCCTTTGACTTGAAAGAGGGAACTGTTTAACCAAATAAAAGAAAAAAATATTGAAGGAAATATTGAAATGTCTATTTCATATTACTTTAAATCAAACATTTATGACACTATGCATTGCATTTTCATGTACAGTACACTAAACACAATTACATATGATATATTAATTTTCTTACTATTTAGTGTTAATACATAGCATTTTTTAAAAATACTTTATGCTGTATTGCCTATACAGTAAAGTAGCCTGTATAGCCAATAGAATTCTGTATATAATATGTAGTACTGTGCTCTACATTCATTATATCTTTATCATCCCTTTGATAAGATCATCCCTTGAGATGGCTAATTTTTCTAGGTTTTGGAGTTTGTCTTAGAGGTTTTACTGAACTACACTGAAAATCAATGGTTTTAATATTGAATAATCAGTTTTTGTAAATAAATCATTATACTTTTATTTTTATTAAAATAATAATTATGTAATTCTAATTTTTATTATTTTATACAATTTTTTATTTTTAAATATAAATAAGTGATAGAATTAGCCTGTAATTGTGATGTAATTTTTTTAAAACATTTTNCAATACGTCTCATAACTACATTTTCTATTTTATACAGTATTTTTACGTTATAGCGGTCAATAATACAATTTTTAACACTACAATGTTGGTACCACGGGGATTCCATTCTTTTCAATCTTATTGCCGCTTCGTGTTCTTTTAATCTTGTTCCAAGTTTCCTTCCTGTTTTGCCGATGTAAAACTTCTTAGTTGTACAGTACATGTACACTGTAACTTATAAACGACTCCTGCCACATCGAAAGGATTCTTCTTAAACTTAGCGTTTTCTTTATTAATTAAACAAATACTTAGTAAAGGTATTTGTTTAATTAATAAAATTAATAAATATCATAATTAATAACTATGATATTTTCCTTTAAAATAAAATTATATTTTTATTTTAATTAAAGGAAAATATCATAGTTTGTAGATAAACTTACTATGTAGAAAAAGTTAAAATAAGTGTAAGTAAAAATGCCAAAATAGTCTAATCTGATTTTTATATATGAGAGTAATATAATTTATAGGAAAATTGGTGAAATAAAAAAATTCGGCGACTTTGGATCAGAGCGCTTTTTGTGTAAGTACCTGCAGTGAAGTTTCTAAGAAAAGCCATTATGAGCTTGCTACAGCCATTGTGTTTGTGTGTTGATAAATAAATATGTTGGTTGTCTTTATTTTTTGTGTATTCAGTGTACTGTATTGAACAAAATAATTATGTGGCCTGTGCTCGTCATTCTCTCAGTTATGTGGCCTGCAGTGAAAAAGTTTGGTGATCCCTGCAGTAGAGCATTGATTATCCTAAACAATTCAAGACTGGGGTTGTTCAGATAACAGATTTTTCGGATAACTGATCATTTAGAAAAAATAAATTAAATGCAAAATTGTGTATATTTTATATCACAAGTCTTACAAATACATACCTTACATAAAGTAGTACATTAAAGTAGGCCTACAGTTTAGGTTGGCAGAGAGGGGAGAGTGCTGCAGTGCCACAGCACTAGCAGAAATTTGAATTTGTAGACTGGAACACTTTCGGATAATCATTGCTCTACTGTACAATTATATTTACTAATACAATACAATACAATTTTATCAACACAGGTTGCTCAAACAATTTACACAGCTTTGAAGTCTACGTTTTACCATTTCACACTTCAACAAACATTTTTGCACAAGTATCTATGTATTGATTTCATGAAATGCATCTCTGATGTAATTTTTCAACCATAACCATAACCAAGTTAGCATAACCCTAACATAAACCCTATTTCACCTATTGTCCACCTACTTTTGGTTCACCTTGTATACATATAATGTTGGGCATTCTGTACTGTTTGTTAGGTATAAAAATTTGTCTGTTTTTTTCCAATTTCAATGTCTTCACACACTTCTATTTGGTTCTATCATGAAGAATAAAATTTACTAATATTCTGAACAAGTTAGTCTATGCTTTATTCTTATTACCATAAACTAAATAATATAATAAAGCCAATGAATTTAATATTTCCATTAATAGAGGTTGATAAAATGGAAATAAAGATGGCAAATTCATTGGGATTTGGGCAGTTTTTGGAATTCCTTTGACTTGAAAGAGGGAACTGTTTAACCAAATAAAAGAGAAAAATATTGAAGGAAATATTGAAATGTCTATTTCAGAAAAAAACATTTGACACTATGCATTGCATTTTCATGTACACTAAACACAATTACATATGATATATTAGTAAAAAAATTTTCTATTTAGTGTTAATACGTAGCATTTTTTAAAAATACTTTATGCTGTATTGCCTACACAGTAGAGTAGCCTGTATAGCCAATAGAATACTGTATATAATATGTAGTACTGTGCTCTATATTCATTATATTTTTATCATCCCTTTGATAAGATCATCCCTTGAGATGGCTAATTTTTCTAAGTTTTGGAGTTTGTCTTGGAGGTTTTACTGAACTACACTGAAAATCAATGATTTTAATACTGAATGATCAGTTTTTGTAAATAAATCATTATACTTTTATTTTTATTAAATAATAATTATGTAATTCTAATTTTTATCATTTTATACAATTTTTTATTTTTAAATATAAATAAGTGATAGAATTAGCCTGTAATTGTGATGTAATTTTTTTAACATTTTAGGATTTGAGATTCCAGATAGAGATGCTGATAAGTTATTGAGGCCAGCAGATATTATTAAATATGTTGCTGATAAAGAAGATGTATTTGAATGAATAAGTATGTATTGTAACATTAGTGAAATTACTTTCTATTTTTGATAAAATTATATTTATACTTTGTGACAAAAATCTGTAAATCATAATAAGTCATATCACATAAATCACAATTCATTGGAATATAAATGTAATATTTCAGTTTCTTCCCTCTTTTCTTCAGCCGTCTATAATTACATAAAGCCATTTATCATAAAAAAATAGCCATTGAATCTTATAAAATTTTCATACTTAGTTTTAAATCATAATTGCAAGTTTAAACCTTTTTAAATTGAGTGCAAGATGATGATATTTTGAATTTATTTTATTTATTAAATATTTTATATTTAATTAATATTTTTGAATTTAATATTTGAATCCTAATTGTTGGAGGATTGTAGTAAGACTGATACAAAGATATGAGTCTAAAATTTATATTTAAAAAAAAAAACTTTTATTGAATTGACATTTTAAATTATTTTTAATGAATTGGCATTTACTAAAAATTTTCTCAACAGCAAGAATATAATAATAAATAATGAAAAAAAAAAGGAATATTATATATATATATAAAATAGTCAATCTTCATCCACTCTACAACAATATGTATTTAATATATATATATATATTATGAAGATTGACTATTTTGTCAAGAGCAAAAGAAAATTTATTGAATAAATTGAACAAAAACAAATGAGAAGGATCTAGGAACAACTTATAAAAATAAAAGAAAAAAATGAATTAGTCTGTTAATATTTGAATTACGGAAGAACATTGAACATTGTTCTCTTGAAAGTTTACAATGGTTCTGCAGATGCTACTTCCATTCAGACAGTTCTGAAAAAGTTGGCAGGGTCTTCTATTGGATGAAGATTTGACCATCAAAACATCTACTTTGTGGCATTTAAGTTCTTTCTACCAAGCCTATCAGAATGATGTATTGCATTATGTAGATGATACACTTATCTCAAAGCTCTAAAATCTTCTGGTAAAGAATATTTTTTTCTCCAAAAATTTGGTGTTAAAAATGTGATGCATCTAATGCAACAGTATGTCATATAAGGCACAAAAAATGATACTTTGTAGGGGCCAAAGTATTCACTTACAAGCTTCTCAGATCATTTTGATCTGGGATATAAACCTATACTAAGTCACTCGATCAATATAAAGTGATGGTGAGCATTGTAACATTGCTTGTTATAAATTTGAACTATCAATGTATTGCTCATGTATAGTTGTGGAACTCTTCTGAGTGAGTGTACTCAGATGCAGAATAGTCTTCTGATAATTCTAACCGGAGATACCGACATCAGAAGGAACTGCAACATGATTCAGAAGTAGGAAAAAATGGTGGATAATCCAAAGTATCTTTTGAGAGGATGTAAACAAAAATCAGGTAGGGTTTTAGAGAGATGATTCATAATAACTCAGAATAGACATCTGTACAGATATGATTGAAACTTCTTAATGGCTTGTACTGTACAATGACAAAACATTAATTTTCTGTTGTAGAATAGCTCATTTGGATAATAGAGGATTGAAATACAGGAAGCATATACAGTATATGCAAGCTGTTTGCAATAGGATTCATTCATGTAGTATACAGTACATGTAGTATACTAAATATAATCAATATGTTTGTGAAATGATGGTATAAGTTATTTAAAACCATATTTTAACAGAAAAATTCAGAAAAAAATTACAACTGAAGTGTTAAGTGAAACTAAATATGCAGAAGTGTTCCAAGAGTTGGAAAAAACTGTTAATAATTAAACCAGCTTATATACCAAGCTCATTCATATTTTTTTTTTTTGTCAAAGTGTGTTGCAAATGACATATCTGTGGCATGGACCAGTCATCACTGATTTGCATATAAGTAGTAATATTTTTATAAAATACAACCATCTTTTATATAAAATTATTGAACAAATATATAATTGGTTTTCTTCTTACTAAATTCTGAAAGTAAATTTAATTTGTTCAATGTAAATGAAAATTATTTTACTCGAACATCATCTGTCAGAAAGATATTGGCAAACTGTCCCAAAACTATAACAACAAAGCTCAATTTCATTTAAAGTGCTTTAAACAGTATGTTGAGTTTAGTAATGCTGGGTTTTTGGTTCTATTGGCCACTTAAATAGGGATATATGCCACTTTAGGACATGCCTATTTTGATCACTTAAGTGATAAAGTCACTAATAAGGGATTTGATTTATATTAAAACTTATTCAGTTTTATGGGGTAATTTTAAGAAAGGCTACAAAGTAAAATTTTTACTGTGTGTGTGTTTATTTATTATTATTATATATTGTCACAGTATATTGCATTGATTCACAATGGTGTGTCTGTGTGTGTATTTATATATAAAGATTTTTTAATAATATGATATTCCTAAAATTAATAATTTGATTTTTAGATTCTGGGAGATTTGAACGCTTACAGGAAAGAATGGAATACAAGCATTAATTTAGTTAGAGTTTAAGATGAAGATGGTTTGTACATTTGTAAATGTAGCTATCAAATGAAACTAGTAAATGGTATCTGTTGCAAAGAAATCAATAAAATTCATCGTTTCTTTGATACTTCATATAGTATTTATTTAGCTTTAATTTTTTTTTTTTTTTGACATGTTAAAAATGAAATTTGTTGTTAACTGGTGTTTGCTTATCTGAATTAAAATTTGTTATCTCACAAAAGGCAAAATGTTATTGTTTGTTTGACAATATCATTTCTACTATCCCAATCCTAAATATCAATCATCTCAAAATCTTTAACAGTACCTTGCAGTAGTACTTTTAAAATATGAAATTTAAATTTCTTCATTAACGTTAAATTTTTTACAAATTGTTTTGCATTCACATCTACATTTTATATCCAAATTATGTATTGCAACAGGAATTCAATTATAAACAGTTATCATTCATTATGTAGGATTGTTCTAAATCCTTTTTGTCAACGATGCAACTCTTACACATCAGATCTGTAATCAGAAATTTCTGAATTTCATCTTCTGTATTAACCACCACCACTTTATACAGGTATACCTCACCTTACGTCGGTAATTTGTTCCAGGAGAGGCGACGTAAGTCGAATGTACTTGTCACTAGGCTAAACCACAAATAACCATTCCCAGTTTTGTATTTTATTTATAAATACATTTTTAATAATATATGGTTAATAAGAATCTATTTTAAGCTTACAAACAAATAAATTTTAGTTTTTAATATAGTACAGGAAAAAAAATAATCTAAATTTACGAATACATACTTGTAAATGTACATGTTTACAATTTGGCGATGTTTACAGTACATTGCAGACTCTTTATTTGTGAATGTGGCTTGCTCTAAGACATTATAAAATAAGATGATTTTGTAAGGTTAAATAACAAATACAGTTATTAAAATTATTTTGCAATAATAGAAAATAAACTAATTTATTTGTAGAATTTTGCCAGATGATAATTTAATCAAAAAAGACGATCTGTCCAAAAATATTTTTTGAAGCCACCATTTATTCTATTCACATGTTCCAGAATGCCTTAGATGACTGGACCTTTCTTTAGAGGCTATTAGGCCATCAGGTTAAAACATTCCTTAATTAAAAGAACACACAAAAAATATCCAATTAAAACAATAAGGAAAGAAAGGTCTGGTTGTCGAAGATGTTCTGGAACACGTGAATAGAATAAATGGTGGCTTCAAAAAATATTTTTGGACAGACTGTGTTTTTTTTTTGATTAAATTAAAACTAATTTATGTTAAATTTACCAATATCAAGTGGCACTGATGATGCCAAACAGTAGATATTGGAACTACCATGGAAAATGCCAATTTAAGCTCTTAAAGACTGCTAAATAAGACGACAACACAGTCACACATGTTTTCATGTTTCATTTTCTATGATTTATGTTGATTATATTAACATTTACTGTAAATGTACATATTTTAATATGATTTTATGTTCTTTTAACACTTTTCTAGTGATACTATGACTTTCAGTATTTGTGGTGGACAGACGTAAAGTCAAATAAAATGAATTAAACTTGATTTTTTTTTTTGACAAACTATGTATAATTGAGAATGACTTAACTCAAAATAGCATAGCAGAGGTATACCTGTATATGATGTATATAAAATTATTAATATAATTGTTTAATGGTTCAATTTGTTTTAAAAATATACTTACTTCCAGATGAGAAATTTTTTGCAATTAAAGTTATCTGGCTCTATTCATTTTATTCTTCCATCAAGGAATTTCAACTTTATCTTTGGAAATAACTGTTCTGATTTATGCAGTTTATTATTTATCAAATCAGATTTTTCAGTTATTCCATGAATTTACTGCAAACACAAGCTCATAAGTCATCTTTTAAGCCAGTAAAAATTTTCCCAAAACTAGAAATCAGCTTATATGACAGCAGGGCTTCTAGCGACTCACTATTTTTCAGATTGCTCACTATTCACTACTATTTTAATAAAAATCTCACTTTTCTCACTATTTTTGAGATCTGAGTATATGTTACATGCTTTATACTGTATTTTGGATACAATTATGACCTGTTTATAAAGTTTGTGACAAAATAGATTGTGTAATCGTTAATGACAGTTACACCTTGCAAAAGTTCATCATAGTGCCACCTATTGGCGAGAGAAAGTATAGTGATGTGAGCAAAAGAAGGGCTAGAGGGACTAGCGATTTTCCACAAAGTCATCTTGGAGAGTCACTTTNAATATAAGACATCCCCCTGAAAATAAGACCTAGTGCATTTTTTAGAGCAAAAATTAATATAAGACACTGTCTTATTTTCGGGGAAACACGGTAGCGACTCACTATTTTTCAGATTGCTCACTATTCACTACTATTTTAATAAAAATCTCACTTTTCTCGCTAATTTTGAGATCTGAGTATATGTTACATGCTTTATACTGTATTTTGGATACAATTACAACCTGTTTATGAGGTTTGTGACAAAATAGATTGTGTAATCGTTAATGACAGTTACACCTTGCAAAAGTTCATCATAGTGCCACCTATTGGCGAGAGAAAGTATAGTGATGTGAGCAAAAGAAGGGCTAGAGGGATTAGCGATTTTCCACAAAGTCATCTTGGAGAGTCACTTTACGTAACAAATTTGGAAATGAGCTAAGAACATTATCAAACTCGCATCATTTTTACTTCAAATTTTTATTAAAATATCAAAATACCACCAAGATAATTCAATGGGTGATGTATTTTGGACCAAGTGAATCTAAAATGGCATAATTTATGCAAATTAATATCTACAATAAATTAACACCAAAATGCAACAACAATGTTTCTATTTGGAGGGAAAAATCAACCTGGACATTAATGCTGTCATTGAAGAGAATTTTCTACTATGTAGTCAGTCATGCATGCCATGATTGTTGGTTGGCGTGCTGAGTTTCAAATATTGGCAGTACAGCATTATAAATCACAGTGGTAAAGAAGTTCCTAAACACTACACTATAATTCCAGCGGGTCTTAAACAAGTTTAAATTGGAAATATTTATTTAATAACAATGTTCTCTCCAGACCTTTTTTGGTGGATGATTTCTCTGGCTGATATACAAACTGTGTAAAGTTTCTTGTATTTCTGGAGTCTGGTTCCATTTCGATTTTTAACATACATTTACTGGAACACATTAAAAATTTAAACAAATATCCATTCTTTTCGACAGATCTTGCAAGCTCTAATCTCTGCAGCTTCTATCTCTGCTCACGAATATATCTAAAATTATTTTGCATGTTTTTTGTTTATATTATTAAAAGTTTTTCACACATCTACAATAAATAGGTCACATCTGTTGATAGAGCATTTGACAATAAAATACTGTTATCTTTTACATAAATTAAGATCTAACAAGATGTGAGCATCTTAAATCAATATGAATTGCAAATTGTTAGATTTTGATTCAACAGAAAAATAATTAATTTGGCTGCCCATTGCATTTTTGCCCTTTGTTTTAGTATTTGTAAAGAAATTTTGATCTGTTGACACTACAAGAGAATAATTAGTGATTTAACAATTGTAAACAATCAAATATTTGTATGTATAATTTGAAAACAAACTATTAAGATTTTTCAAAAAGTGAGATTAGATTAATGTTTTTCATGATAAAAAAAATAATTGAAAATTAATATAAATTTAATATAATTTCATTAATTGCTTGAAAGGTATGTTGGGAAACTATTCGTATTAATAGGATATAAAATTTAATCATCTAAAAGTTTTAATGATTCAAAATAAAAGCTAGATATTTAATTCTTGTATTTGAAATTATCAGGAATAAATTTGGCAGAAAATTAATTATAAAAAATATAATTACACCATCTTAAAGAAAAAAAATCATGGATGAAAATGAGATACTTGTAAACATGATCATCATAAAACTATGTTTTACAATAATCATGATCATAATCCTGACTTATTTTTAATTTCAACAATTAAAATTATTGTATAAATTTTATGAAAAAATTATCAGAAAATGTCCAAAGTATGCATTCAAAATTAGTTTCAAAAATTAAAATACTAAATAATAATAATAATAGGTCAAGTGAATGCATTTATTTAAGACAGCATTGTCCAACTGATGATTGGAACTAAATCAATTTCAGACTTTTAATAACATAAAGAAAATTTATTCTTAATATATTTTGATATACAGTGAAAACTGCTTAGGCGACCACCTGCATTCGACGGGCACCTGCCAAAACGGGCAAAAATTTCTGGTACGGAATAGTTTATCCATAGTCTTCGTATAAGTTACCTGTATTAAACGACCACCCGTGTAACGCGACCGCGGGCATCGATTTTTGGTCCGAAACAACATACAACACCTGTAATAAGCGACCACTTTCGCGAATGTATCTGGTCTAAACTATTGTAAGAACCCATCTCATCAACGTTTCCACCTCCTAATATAATGAATTAGTCTAAACTAGTGCTGTGCGATGTCTATAATTTTAACATCGATGTTTGCCTAAGCATCGATGCTAAATTTCGATGTCGGATTTCACATCGATGTTTGATCGATGCCCATTGGAACATCGATGTTCAATCAAGATAAACTCAAACAGTTTAAAAAAAAAAAAAACTTAATTTTATTTTCAACTTGTATAGTTCAATTACAGTTCCAATGCATACAGTTCTTTAATTGATAATGAATTTAAAACTAGAAGTTTATTTAAAACTACATTCTTTGGCTTTAAAGAACTCCGCTTTTTGTTGATAGTATTTCCAGCTTTGGAAAATAATCTTTCTGCTGGAACTGAAGTGGCAGGAATGCAAAGCCACTTCATGGCAAGTTCACATAAATTATAGTTAAAAAATTTCATGGATTTCCACACATCCAAAGCATTACTATTGTGAGGCACAATAGGGGCATCTAAAAAAGTTTTAAAATTTGAATTTAAAGTTCCATTTGTGTTAAAATTTTCTATCTTAATATCAATTTTTCTGGATGACCAAAGGTGTAAATTTGTAAACATATTTGCAAGAACTTTGTTTCATCGCAATTTCACAATTTTTACGAAATTCCCGGACTGTCCGAGTGAAAACCGAACAGGTGGTAACACTAGGAACAAAGAATGAACTGCATACATCGATGAATCAAAATTCACATATTGCTAACATCGATTCAGGATCGATGTTTCAAAAACATCGGAAGGTCGATGCATCGACGAACAAAAACATCGATATGTCGATGTCACATCGATGCATCGCACAGCACTAATATGTAGTCTGTTAGCGCTGGTCAGTAGTAGTCCAAATTCAATACGAACGTTTGTTTTTTGAAAATTTGATCACGATTTAAATACAGTATTTACTTTTAATATTACCGATATGTCATCGAAAATAAAACGTGTTGTATTATCATTAAAAGACAAAGTATTTGTTTCCATTATCCGGATTTTTCCTTATCCGGACTACCTTCATCCCCAATTAGTCCGGATAATCGAGGTTCTACTGTA